CCCCCCCCCCCCCCCGCCCTCGTCGAGCAGCAACTGGTGTTTGGGCACCAGTTTAACCGCCCTATCGCCGGCATGAAAGAGTGGCCGCCTTCTCTCCTCGTGCTGTCGTTCGGCCACGCCTTCAACCAGGGCGTTGCCGGCGTAACCCTACCTCCTCGCCTGGAGGTAAGTCGCGTCGCGTCGTGCCATCTTCGTTGTTTTTTTTAAGTTTTTTTTTGCCAAGTGTGGCCCCTTGAGTGCGTGTATTCGAATGCAGGTGGTTAGCTGTTAACACCACACGGCCGTGCTTGGTAGTACCGAACATTTAAGTGTGCTGCTCGCCTCTTCGCCTTAAAGATGGGCTTCCAGAATATCAGGGATGAAACATGTACGTAGTTATCCTCGGCAAAAAACGCACGGCAGACTTCGGCACAAGGCCTACAGTAGCATGGACACGCTCCAAGTCAAGATGCCGCTAACGCACACCCAACGTTTGTTTGTGTTTAACGGACCGCATGTACCCCCCCTTTTCCCCGACGCTCTACACATTTGTCGGAGCAGTTCCTGGAGTTCGGGCAGAACTTCAACCACTCGATCGACGAGCTCTCTCTGCCGCCCACCCTTCAGCACATCAGATTCTCTCACAAGTTCGACCAGAACCTGGACCAGGCTTCCTGGCCGCAGTCCCTGCGTACCGTGTGGCTTTGCGGCACCTTCGCCCAGCCGATCAGGGACGTCGTGTGGCCGGCGGCCCTCAAGGTCGGGTGGGGTAGGGGGGCCCGCCTCGATTTGCTGTGCCGCTCACTCAGAGGAAGGCGGCCCTGAGTCTTGGGAGCCGGCGAGGCAGCCGTACACAACGCCCTCCCGGCATTTAAAAAATAAAATGTCAGATTGAGGCGAGGCTCAGGTTAATCTTGCGTCGCTACCCACCGTCGCCCATAGGTTATTATCAAGCAGCTCGGTCCTGATCCCCAGTCGTTGGCGTGAGTGTACTGTTTTCTCCCTGGGCTCCCCTTTTAAGGGTAAGAAAATCGTTTCAACGTCGGTCACGTAAAACTAGTTCCACCGCCCCCCCCTCTTTGCTGTACCGACGACAGGTGCTTGCTCTGCCGGCGAGGTTTGGGAGACAGGGAGAACACGAAGATGGCGATGACGATGATGTTGATCAATGGCGGGCCGTTCTGCCTGTCGGCTGCCGGTTTCAGCGAGCAGTGTGCGGCTAGTCTACGGGAAAACCGACACCATAGACACCAAAACAAAAGACTCCGCCGCCAAGTGATGATATTCCTCCGCAGTTCCCGTTGAGTTGGTTGGACAACGCCGAGAGTATGTTGTTGTGCTGGCCGGGTTTTGCTCTTGCACCGTGCCGAAGCGCCGTTCAAGACAAAGAAATCTAGCAACCAAGCCGTGGTCCTGCATCACCTCGCCCGATGGAAATTCAATCGACACGAGGTGGTCTGTGTGCGACACGAGGTCTGTGTGCGGATCGATGGGCGAGCTGTTGGAGTTGGCACCCGCTGTCCGGCAAGGATGTCATGGTGAACGAATGACTGCCGTTTCACAGCCCTGGGGGTCTAGGGCACGTGCATATGTTGTGGTTATGATACCTTAGACGGCAGACATGAAAAATGTATTATTTTGATATACATGGACCGAACGTGTGCGTGTATGTAGCCTATAATATGCGTGTGTATACATACAAGGTTCTTTTTTTCTGCAAAAAGCTGTACAGGCCACATACAGTTTCTCGGATGTTTTGGTTTCGGTTTTACTTTTGTTCTTCGGGTGTTTGGACCGCCGGGGGGAAATGCCGTCAAATTCGCGTGAAGCGCGGCAGGTGTATGCATATGTTTGTCTTGACTGAACATTTATTTATTCATTACTTGCGCCGACCCTCCAAACCGACTGACCAATGACAAGGAGGGAGTCTCAGTACGGGTAAAAACGAGGAATTAACCCTTTTAAAGGTCATGATCTAGGGTCGGTCCGGTGAAGGGCGGTCAGGGTAAGCTTTCGCGTGTGTGTGCGGCGGTCGTTGGTACATTTTTTTTTTTTTCACCCCGTTTGTTCTGGATGTCGGTCTTTCAATACCTACAAGTTCTGGATGCCACACACAGAGTATTGTACCGGAGGAAGGGAATCACGCCACACAGGATTTATCTCAATTTGTAAAATACAAAATACCCCTGCTGTTTCGGTCGTACTGTCGGCTAGCTTCTCTCTAGATATGATCGTTTTTTCTGCTTTGCCGTGTCGTGTGTCGTGTCGCTTCTCCGTAGACATGCCGGGTAGGGGTGCGTAGCGTTCGAGGGTCGGCTCCAAGCTCTTCCTGGCTGCAAACATGGCCATGTGCTCCTGAAGAAAGGGGGCGGAGAGATACCCCTCCTCTCGTACGGGCATGCGCCGGGACTCGCTTTTGGATGGGCACGCGGATTTGAGTTTAATTGCGATTTGCACAATGGTTACTAAATGCGTTGGATCGTGATCCCAACAGTGAGCACGTGCATGTAGTGAGGTATGTAAGATGTGCGTGGTTTCATAATATTTTTTTATGTGTTTGGGAATATGTATGTCGTTGTTTTCCGAATAACACTTGGATTCATCAGCAGGTCTGTTGTAGGTAATAATCTTTCTGTCAAATGACGAAATCCGAATGAATGTATTTACATTAGGTGATTTCGGCATATGAGGGCGAGAGGTTTGTGAAGCCTATCGGTCGGCGTTTTTGGTGGTCAAATTATCAGAGAGACCCTCTAGACTTTGTATCTGTATCCCACACGAATGGGCGGCATGCATGCGACGTTTTTCCTTCGTGAAAGCATGCCTGGTCTTTTTTCTTGAGATATTTTTTTCGAGCTGTGCGACACCAGTTAGTTGTCTGCAGGCGGGATTTGTCACTTGGCAAGCCATGCAACTTGTTGTCGCAAGCACTTTCCATGCGCTCGCCGCGGAGAGAGGAGAGTTTTTTTCTCTTTTGTTTCATGTCACCTCCGGTTCGGAGTTCTTATTTCTATAAGATGGAGAGCAACTTCTGTAAGATGAAAAGCAGTGGCCTTCAAGGGGAGGGAATAGAAAATGTTACATGGATAGCGCGGCTTAGTAAAACCAGGAAAAAAAATGAAAATAATTGCGCTGAATATTTTTGTGGGGAACAACTGACTGCAGGCAGGCAAGGAGGTCTTCTCGAGGCCTTCTTTTTGTATTGCGCGGTAGTCGCAACTATGCAAGAGGATAGTTTCAGTCCTGTGCACCCTTCGATATCTGTTCTCAAAAGTCTTCGGTCGAGCAGTTTACTTGCGCTTCGTTGTAGAAGGGATAGAGCTAGGGCAAAGCTCAGGAGAGGACATTGGAGGAGGCGGACTGTCCTTCCTTGCTTCCTGCCTTTATTTTTGTTGTCTACCGAGATACGACCTTCTTTCGCACGTCATCTCGATATGATACGTAGTCTCATGGTCGTTTCCGCGAGGAGGAAGAAAAATAGAATTGAAAGCAGTGCCGCCGTCAGTATCGCAACAGGTCAACAGGTGGTCCCTTCGCTGAATAATTAGGCCGCGTACAGCAGGAGAGGCAAGGAAGGGAAACGACTGGCCGTGCTACTTACTTGTAGGCACTCCACGGGAGGAGGAGCATTCTGACTGACAAACAACTTTAATATTTTTCGTCCGATCCATCTGTCTGTGTCAAGCGGTTTCACCTCCACCAGCTGTAAAACAAGGCGACCGGCCCTATTCGTGTGGCCGTGCACAGGGGCCACTACTACGGCAGCAGTTGCACTGTACCGAGCGTGAAACAAGGCCTAGCCTTTGTGTTCCATCAGGTTGCTTCAGCATGGAACCGTCTACTTCCAGCAAGACAGCGTCATTTTTTTTTTTTCGTTTCTGCTAACGTAACAAATAATAAACGAAAAAACATGTGTCCACTCATCACTCCAAAGTTGAACGCATAACTACTGGTTCACGAAGCACTTCGAAGCTGGAACTCATCATTATTGAACGGCTAAACTGATGACTTGAAGAAGAATTGCGATACTGCCGTTGGTGTGCAAGCAAGCTTCGTGCCCACCGCAACCACCCCACAGCCGTAAGCAAAGCTCTTCTTCCCCCCCATGACTTCGGGACGGCTCACATCCGCCCGATCACCCGATCTTTCTCGACGGGAGGGTGCCGAAAGGAAAAATGCATGTTCTGCTGTTGAGCTTGACACCCGCAGGCAGGCCCTTGAGTTGACAAAAGACCCCCCCCCGCCCCCCCCGAGGTCAATGGTCTAACGACTACGGCGTTCACGACTATGAGTACACCCCCCCCCCCCCAGTCCAAAATGTCCCCGCAAGTAAAAGGATGGATCGGATGGATGATACCCTTGCCCTTACAACAAGAAAGAAAATGTCGCGCACGAAATGTCACTACGATGAGATGAGTGTGCGACGTTGTCGAGAGTTCCCAAGACGCATGGGCTTCGCTCGCCGCCAACAAGACGCGCAATGATATGCTTTCATAGTCGTGTGTCGGCGGAGACGAAATAGAGGAGCAAGAGGACTGGCACTAGACAAGGCCAGACAGACAACACGTACGTACGTGACGTCAGTCAAAACAAGGAAGGCCAAACAGGCAAGTGTCTGAACATAGGGCCTTTTGGCAGACGTACATACATGCATATGTCAGTCAAGAACAACAGCAGCAAGCAGTGTGTGCGTGTACTCCGAGTACAACGCGCGACGGAAAAATCACGCGGCCCTGCCGTAGACCCGTCAAATCAAACAAACAATCAAAAACAAGAGTTGGCAGCAGAAACGAATCACGTTCTTTCACATTCCCGTCATGTCCTCCAGCAGAAGAGCAGAAGTGGTAACAGTCCTGCGCACACCCCACGAAAAACCACGGCGGGTACCATAATCACCACAATCTCTCGCCAATGTGATCCATGGTTTTCAGCGATACACGAACTACCTTGCACCAAAACATCCATCTACTACTACTACTGTTGTCGAGCTGCCCGAAACGTAATTCTTGTCGAAATCCCAATATATACGCAAGCCTTCCTTCAATTCCTCCCCGCTCCCCCCCTTTTGTGCACGCTCCTCCAGCACATGGACGGGAGGCACGCCCACGTGCGCTGGTGGGCCAGGCACCTCTGATGCCTCAACCTGCAGCCTTTAGAAAACGGCGAACAACCGCACCGCGATGCATGCCGAAGCACAAGCGGGAGGGGACCCAAAACCTCACCCCGGGCCGACGCACCAGCACCCCCCTTCCCCCCGTGACCCCAATTTTTCCGCATCTGGGTCAGAAAAGCATCTCCACCTCGTCGATGGCCACTGGCGTCACGGTCTTGTGGACCGACAACAGCACTCGTATAGTAGCAGCTGCTTCAACGACCGGGTCGGCCCGACCAGACCAACGGTACGGCGGGGCGACTTGCGAGGACTACCCGCTACCTCTAGCACCAACATTACTCAAACCACGATTGGCGTCTTCTCGAGTCTCGTGAAGACACACGTACGTACGGCATGCCTATCGATCGTTGCCGAAAGCAAGTCTCGCTACAATTCACCCTCCCCCTCCCCCAACAAATGACCCCGCAACCTCCCTCAGCAACCCCGTTGTGCTTCATTTACCTATCAAAACTAGCAGTACACCGCACGCGCTCGAAGATTTAAGGGGGGCATGTATATAAGACAGGCACAGCAGGCACAGCAGGCGCGATACATATCGCGCAGAAGAATAACTGTCAACCGACACACTACTAATTTTACCGCGTCTGGCAAATAAGACGAGAGCGGGAAAGCCAAAGCCTACCCGCTCCTTGGCACGGGAAAAACGGAACCTAGGAAAGCGACGAGCCACCCAACCCATCGCCCCATGTCGTGTATTCTACAGCATTCGTGCCCCCCCCCCCCCCCCCCCCCGTGCGAAAAATAAAATTTGGATTTAAATGCGCTGACAACGGGGGGGAATGATTCCCCAAACCACCTAAAAAAGATTCCCGGACAGGATCTCTGGGTGCAGACAAAGCAAGCTGCGGGGCCTGGCCGAGGGCGTGTCCCAAAAAAAGCCCGTTGGGGCCAAAAACTTTCACCACTATGGAGAACCT